ACTTTGACAAAGTGCGAATTGCCAGTTCCGTGCTCATAGTTGGCGGTGGACTAATAACAACCCTTCCAACACACCTCTATGAGGTAAGTGGAAATGATTTCCTTCCTCCCTTTCAAATGTCTCAAACTCGCCTTGCTGTGACAGTAACGGATGCTAAGCGCGCGAAATTAGGTCATTAAGGTGTGCTGACCAAGTCACCACCTCCTCGAACAGAAAAGAGATGGCGTGATGACTAATGGAAGGTAGCAACAAGTTTTGGGACACCTCCGTAGGAAACGATGTAGTGTGTGATTATGTTCCCAAGTTTCTTAAGAGGAAAGTTTCATGGGGATGTTCAAGTTGAAGTTTGACTATGTGTCAATGGGAGCCAAAGAACACAAAGCCAACCTCTACCCACAAAATGCCCATAGTAAGCTGCACAGTTGTCCCTTTCCAATCTACGTCATGCCTGTTGTTTCCGCATTCGCATCATAAACAGCAGTCGCAACGACGCACGAGTTGAGTGCACTCACTTAGGAGGAAGGGCTACCAAGACACATCGCTCAAAGGTTCAATCGTCTCAACTATGCTGAAGAGTAATTTTACTACGAAGGTGGTTCTAAAGGTGGAACGCTATTCTGTACCATGATGCCAGTGGCTATTAAGCAATGCAGACATCACGGAGGTTAGTACTACAGAGAACAATGTCGGAGCCACTCGGATGCCGAGCTTGTTTCGCTATTAGCAAAGAATGCTTAATTCTTCTCGCACTCCCAGTGAAAATTCGTTTCATGTCAATCAGGCTAAATGGAACACTGGTGGACTGAGAATAGGTGCATTTGGTTTGGAAAAGTCATCTCTCTTCCAATGAGCGTCGCACCTTCCCTGAGGGAAGAATTTACCCATCACCTCATGCAAAGGGGAGTAGTATGCAAAACGCTAAAATTGACGGATTGACTCTCCCAATTTTCTGTGCACCCCTTTGTGCGCGACACATGCATTGCGTAGTTTGAGATTTTTGCTACTAATTTTTCAAACTCCACTCATTGCAGAGGATCGGAGACTGGCTCCAACGTCGGCAAAACCCACTAAGCGTCTATCACCTCTCCTCTACCACACCCGCCCCGACAGCAGCGGTGGCAGCGGCAGCTTCAGTCACTGCATCAACAGGGTGTGAGGCCTTGAGTAGTACTCCCACCGTCGCTGCCCTCACCTCACAATCTGCAAAAGCGAATGAATTGCCTGCTAGTAATCTTGCCACATTCCCTGTCAAAGAGTCCACCGGTCGCCGAACCACTCTGGCACCACCAATGGCTCAACGGAACCTTTTTCGCAGCAGTAGTCTCTCCGTCAACCGTGGAAAGTAAACGATTTGCACTCAAGAGCAACTGCTACTTTAGTCACCCATTGTTTTTTGGCTTTAGTGCATCAAACTAAGAAAAGCACCAAGAGGGCAGTTTGGACACCATACATAAGCGAAATCAAAAATGCTTACTCATGTCAGCTAAAGGCTCTTTGAGCTTCCTTTAGCAGACACAAGTTAAGACTTTCAATCGGTGAGGTGGTTGTGCCTGAGAGGAAATGAAAGAAGAGTGTCCTACGTCACATACCTAAGGTTATCAATAAGATGTCTCGTCACTCTGAGGTGTGGACAGCAACCAAACTGGTGCGAAGATTCTATGGAAAGTATGCGAATTCCTTCCTTCATCCTCCAGATGCATTATCAGCCAAAGCTGTGTACATGTGTGTGTGTGCGTGAAGAACTCAAGTGCCTCATTGGTGGCTCTAGCTCCGTCTGCATAGGGCGTGGGTGGAGAGGGAAGGAAAAGAGGTTGCGAATACAGACAAAGTAATGGCGATGTGGAAAAGGCCTCTAACAGGGGTCCAAGGGGGGTGGTGCATGGTAAGGGAAAAGAATGCACCAAAGTAAGTCCCTCTTGGAGTGAAAACAAAGCCAAAGGACAGTAACGATGCTTCAAGTTGAAAGTAAAATACTCAACTAGTACATGCAAGTGGTACGCATGGTAATGCAAAAAGAAGATATGCTTATTTCAACGTAGCACACCCTCCAATCCGTCACTGCCGCCGGCGGAGTCGTTTAATCCTGAAATGTCTCTTCTCACAATGAGGCGCACTATCCACCAATATCAGTCATATTTTGGTCTCGAGGGTATGGAGGGAGGGTTACAGAGATTCTCTCAATCTTGATTTGAGCATCCATGCGATCCTCTGCTGTTATTCTGCAAGACATACTCGGATTTCAGCAGAAATGCATGCTTCTGAGCTGATGAAATGTGGGAAGCTACTGAGGCTGAAAATAAGGAGGAAGGCTCAATCTTTACGCCAAGATGTGTACTGATTAGATAGGTTGGGACTTGTGGTGTGAGGAGGCAACAGTCCCATGATTACAGGCTGCGACATAACAACTCTCCAGCCCTATTCATCCGAGTCTCTCTTTGCCCCCGCTCCGTCCACCCACTTACTTATTTATCAACTTACTGATTCATTTGCGAGTCTAAAAGCTCATTGGTTGGCAAAGCTAATCAACTGTCAACAGCGA